CCCCCGCCCAACCCCAACCCCCTGCAGGCTTTCAATTACAGATCTTGAGTGTAGTGGAGTTCCTCCTGATGAGCAGATTATGCTGCTCTCATTTTGGTAGGACAGTGCAACCATGAACTCTGCTGCCCTTTCTGTCTGCAGCAGGCCCACCCATTAATCATAGCATCTGGGTCATCTGGTCCACCTGATTGCTGTCTGTTTTCCAGCAGAGGATCTCAGCACAGCCACCCAGCTCAAGGGAAGGAGAACAAGCGCTATCCCAAGTAAACAGACTTATTACCAGCTAGCTTTCCCTACTTGTGCTGTTCTTGGTGTAACACAATGTGACATAATAACTAATGTGACCCATAACTTGACCAGCCCAGTCACTCAGCGCGTCACTGTCCAATGCTAATATCACAATGACAAGAACAGCTAACAGTTGTCAGTTTTATCAAGGACACACTCTTCATGATAGTGTATTACAGCATCATTTAGCAGCTTAGTCACTATATTTACAGAAAGCAACTTACAATTTTAATCCTCATTAAGCAGCTAGGTCATTTTAATTAAGCGCTGAAGGTCTTCCCATGTAATAGATCAGTACTCTTAACCACTAGACCTCAGTAACTGCCAGATGAGAAAAATACCAAAGGCCTTTCAACGAAAAACAACCTGTGGAAACAGAAGCAAGTGCTGTATAATTGTACAGCACTAAAAAACCTAAATTAATGTAGGCTAATATATATTTTTTACTGGTCATGGTGGAAGATGAGGTAATTACATTTAATTGCCTATAAAGACAACCAAATTGAAACTGACCCTTTTATTCCCCGTCTTTTCATAACAACGAGGGAAATTAGAAACCCAAGTGGATGTAATCTTTAACAGCATCTCAGGAAGCAATAGATGTTAATTAACTGGTATCGAATTACACCAGTATTTGACCCTCTGCGGGAAGTAGTACGGAAGCCCACATGGGGGCGTTTCCATTATGTTCGCTAAACACAGAGAGTGCTAAAATTATACGTGAATCACATCGAAGTTCGCGTTGCCGGGCAATGCATGCCGCTCGAAGCGAGCTAAACACTCACTTCCTTGTGTGAGATCGCAGCGTTCCATCGTGGGCATGTCGTACACATCTATATATACTCACTTCCTTCTGTGTGACTTGGCTCACTGGCGAGCTCCACGTACGTAGGGAACAGGATGCGCTTGTCATAAAGTTAAGAAGTTCCTGTTCAAAGAATGGATTCTTCATCTTTACTCGCACTTCCATCTGTCACCTAACATTACGCTTGTATTTGAAACGCATTGCGCTCTGCCAAAATGGCCCAAATCTTCCATCACAGTAACTAACTTCCTGTAAATGATGTTCATTTAGCCATTCAGGAGCACTGAGAATACCTTTGGGGTTTAAATTAATCTTGCATATTCTTCTGCAAAATAAGGCATGGCTGCTTAAATGTTTGTCATCCCCACTAAATCTTTAAAAACAATCTCATCCGATAATCACTCTAATGGATCTTGCACCTACTAAAAATACTGGTTTTTCTTTTGCATACAAAATCAGTAGCAGAAAGTGTATGAAAGTTGCCCCAATGATAGATATGATTATTTAGGACTACGTCAGAAGAGGATTACATTTATTATTGCATTGAGAGTTCAACATATCAGTTGTGTGAAATGAGGATATTAGATCATTAATGTTGACAGTAAAATGCATTTTTGTAACATTTTCACTGAATAAGAACAAAACATGTCAATGTAATGTGATACACAAAAGAACACGACTGATTTCTGGTACTTTTTAAAAGATCTGCAGTCACAATCTGATACAAATAAAACATAAAAATGACTTAACCCATATTGGTACTAATGGTCAATATTGTACATTCATCCTTTTTTTTGTAACAAGCTTATGTAACATGTGATTCTCATGTCTGGTTATAGGAAAGCAAAGACATTCACAATGCTTGAAACATCTAAAAAATACTTACAGAGTGGTGTTTAGCTCATTGGTCAGGCTGTAATGTCACCAAATCAAACTCCGAGATAAGCAGTGAGATTTAACCGTTCGCATGATTAAAGCTTTTAACCTGTAGCCTCTCCAGGGAGAGTCTGACCCTGCTGCCTCGAAAAATGCGTCACTTTGGGACATTTTCAAAGTTTATAAGTGGAAAAATCAAAGCAGATGAGAAACGCTGGAAGTAGTACAGTATGATGCCCCGAATCACAAGCTCTTAGAGAAGGCTAAAGCTTGGGACCATAAATCTTTAAAGATTTGAGTGTTTTAGATATGAGTTCTTAAAGTTCAACCTTGAATATTTTAACGGGCTTTATTAGCAAAATGTGGTAATGAAGATGTGGTCGTTCTTATCTTGAACTCATAGTTAAAAGTTTTGGCAAAAAGTTATGGCCACGTTTAGTTTAGTTTAAGACAGGGAGAAAGTCTTCTGAGGCTCAGAGACATATCCGGTAAACACCTAACTAGCGTCAGGATAAATTTGTGTCTGATAAAATTGTCTCAGTGGGAGAAAAATTTGTGTGCAATAAAATTGTCTCAGTGGCAGCCCCAGAAACCTACAGTAGAGTCAATAACCACAAGATTGTGTAAAACTTTACAATGCAGTGATTCCCAATTCATTCTTTGGGGACCCACAGACAGTCCACATTTGTGTCTGATAGGGAGCAAAAATGTGGACTGTCTGGCAGGTAGCAGAGAGGGAGCAAAAATGCAAACCATCTGTGGGTCCCGAAGCACTGGGTTTGGAAACAGTGCTTTACAGGGTCTCAGCCCAAGTACCACAAAGAACGTGACTGAAGTCCAGCGGTCACAGATGACCTACCTGTGACCAGCAGCTCAGTGGTCCGTCGCACCACAAATGCCCCGAACTGTAATTCACACGTGTAATTTCCTATGTCATCTTCTCGCACATCCTGGATCGACAGCGTATCCTTTCTGTTCACGATACTTTGCCTCCATTGCTTTGGCCTGCATTCCTTGAAGACAAGGTAAAAACATGGTGTGGCAGAGTTTCCATGGTAATAAGCAAGAAAAAAGTCGGCAGAACATTTGGCTTTGGGGTCACATAATAAATGATGAAAGTGGACTCCTTTCATTGATGATAATGACTTTATTTGAATAGTTAATTAAAGTGATCATTGTCACCCATACTGAGTACAGTACCATTGTGGAGACAGGAGGTATTTAGGCTTTGCTGCCCTACTGCAGAAGCCCCACCTGGAAGTGTCTGGAACTCTGCCACCTTCTCATACCCCAGCAAGCAGAACTCTAATGGACCTTAGCCCGTACACGTCTTTTAATTTCATTCACCAAGAAACTGGAAAATATAATCCTAAACTGGGATGAGCTGCCCTGGGTGTCTCCCAGCAAGACGGTCTGTGTCTCCATTGAAAAATGACCATAAAAACCAAACATAGGGACTAAAGCTGGGCTGGAAAGGGGGGGCTGACAAGGACAGTAACAAGCAAAAGTCAGACCATGACTGGCTTATAATGCCTGACTTCTCTCTCACACACACAGAAGTAACAAGCAAAAGTCAGACCATGACTGGCTTATAATGCCTGACTTCTCTCTCACACACACAGAAAGACGCATAGTCTCATACACTAAACACGCATTCACATGGAAACACTAAGATGATTCAAATACTTAGAAAAGCGTAGATCATTTATCATTCATATTTAGCACAGGATACTGTGAAAGTTTCTCCCTATCATAGACTAGTGTGTGACAGCTTGTGCAGACCTTATGATAATCAAAGATCTAATGATCTCGGTAGCAGACGGGCTAATTGTGTGATGCTTCAATGTGTTAAAATTAATGTTTTTTTTCCTTCACATTTCCGTGATCTGAAGGCGCAAATACAGACCTACTCTGAAACTGACATGATTCTCCCAAGCTCTGCAGTACGTGCAATATGGGATTGTGATGATGACTACAGAAAGTGCTGATGCTCTCTTACCTTGTACCAAATGATCTCTGGGTCCTTCCCCGGCTGTACGTAGTCCTCAATGTCAGGGCAGGAGATTTCTTTGCTTTTACTTAACTCAGCTTTCTCAAAGTACCTCATTCTGGAGTTGTAACAGAGGTCTGAGTCATTCTCCGCCACGGTCAGAGACATTGACACCTTCATGCAGTATGAGGAATTTCTGCAAGAATGAAAGTGAAAGGATTCAGCAAATTATTTACTCACTAATTAATTACATGTTGGTCTTGCAGATCAAGAGAGACACGTTGAAGACAGATTGCAAAACAGTAAAAAAAAAAAAATAATCAATATGAATACTTAATACAGCTATATAAATTGTAAATACAATATGCTATTAGTTTATTGGTATGGTTACCTAGTTTGAATGGTGCTGTTACATTGCTCTTAATCACTTGAAAGCAACTATGGTAAGTGCTTTTAAATGCTAGCTTATATTAAATAAACTGAAGTGAAGTGAATGGAAATTAAATTTCCTGTGTGACACATTTGCTAATGCATCAGCAACTCTTCAAAGGCAAATCATTGCCATAACATGGTTACGTTTGCAATATGTCAACAATGGCACCCTACAAAATTAAACTTAATAACAAAATAAATATATCTTCCATTACAATTTAGTGGCATTTAGTGGAGGAAAACCAAATCACCTGCTACCTTGCTTTGAATGAGGTTGGAAATTTATTTAAATCGGAGTTGATATATACCTGTGGACCCATGATTTAAAATCATTTCCACAATAAGTAACAATTATGAAAGAAAGACTGTCAGTTAATGATAAAGGAATGTACAAAAAAGCAAAGACACTAACATCCTTAAAGCAATACTGAAGACAATAAAAACACATAGTTTCATTGAAGGTTGCATTTTTAATGCCAATTTCCAACACTGAGAATTAAAACAAACAAAAATGTAATTTCCCAGGCAATACCAATGCCAGAAGATTACATTCATTTCCAGCACTGACAAAACAAAGTTAAAAATATAATACAAAAAAATCCACAATTTCTAAGCCAATGCCAAGATTGTTGAGATTCAATTAATTGTTAACACAGTAAGTATCCAGCAAATAGTATAGATATAAGTAAATATAATATACTTATGGAATAAAAGACACTGTCTGGAGTCACTGATGAGGACACAGCGCGATCATTGTTAAGTCATTTGTCATGGAGACCAAAGAGCTATGTGTAGCTGTGTCCACTATCACTGCTGGCTGGCCTGCTGCAGCCACTGCACTCACTGCCCTGGGGCTGCTGTGTCACTGCGCTCACTGCCCTGGGGCTGCTGCAGCCACTGCGCTCACTGCCCTGGGGCTGCTGTGTCACTGGAAATCAAGATGCAGGCAGTTTCTTTGGGAAAAGCTACTTACTGTATCAACAGCAATATATTAGCCATACAGACTGTATGTCACATCAAACAACTCCTGTTTTTCACTTCTATTTTTGAATAATTTGAATGGCTCCAGTGATATTATGTTTTGGAGTTTTCTCCTTTATAATGCGTTGAGAAGCCACTGCTCTAGTACTCTTGGCAGCCTGCTGTGAGAAACAGTCCAGTCACGTCAACTGGGTCATGTGATACATGGAATGGGTCGTTTTTTTTTACTATTGTTTTTTTATTTTAACAGACAATACAAGTAACAGCACCAGGCACGACCATAGAACAGTCATCGCCACTATCTAAAAGAGTGACAATTAGCTCAGGGCAGGGGTCAGCATTACATGAAATGAGAGGAATTGCAGAGCATGCATGAAGAATAAAAAAGACTCGGCTACGACTGCCAAGCCTGAATACACTCGAGTGCAGAGTGACAGCTCTTGGGTCAGACACTAAATAGGCTTATCTTGTCCCTGCGTCCCCATTCTGGGGTGTGTAGATCATATATAGCAAGATAAGTATTCGAAGATCAAATATTACCAATTCATACATCTTCTGTGTCTGTAATAAATCTTGATTAGGCTTTATTATCCCTGTCCCCTGGCACTTCAGTGGGTATCAGCGGGCAGCTTCGCAGCCTCACACCTTTAGCGCAGTGAGATTGATTTCGGCCTCTGCCCGTTCTGCCGGTGGAGTTTCCATGTTCTCCTCATGTCCAAGTGGATTTACCTCAGGGTCTCCTGCTTCCACCCACAGAGCAAAAACATTTTATGTGACTCTGTGTCTCTAAATGGCCCTTAGTCTGTGTTTATACCCCGTGATGGACTGGCATGTCTCCCAGGGTGTCCCCTGCGTCGTGCCCTGTGTTTCCTGGGACAGACTCCAAGCTTGCTGTAAGCCTGTGCTGGAAGGTTGTTCGGAGAGGAATGAATCAATAAATAAATAAATAAATAAATTTGCATTAAACTCAGCAAATTGAGACTAAGTTAGAAAAGGTTTGACCATCCATATTACAATACAGACTTTCTGTCCCCATCTCCCCCTTTTTCTTACTCAGAGATGATGAGGTCAGACCACCCATCGTACCCCACGTTTATGGTGAGACACATCACCCAGGTCCAGGCACATCACCCAGGTCCAGACACATCACCCAGGTCCAGGCACATCACCCAGGTCCAGGCACTTCACCCAGGTCCAGGCACATCACCCAGGTCCAGACACATCACCCAGGTCCAGGCACATCACCCAGGTCCAGACCCACAATACGCTCTTTGGGTTTATGAATGCAAAGAACACTGTTGCATCTGCTTCTTTATCATTTGTATATATGTTCTGCTTTCACTAAATACTTCATTTGCTGGTGAAACTGCTGTGTTTACACACACACACACACACACGCACACACACACACACACACCACGCTGCTCTCAGTCTCGTAAACAAGCCACTCATCAGTTTAGTGGCACAATTACTGTGACCCTTGATGTTGAATTTAACAGATAATATCTTTCCAGATGCAAATAAAAGACAAACATCAATTCCCAACAAAGTAATAAAAAATGTCTGAGTCACTGTTGATAAACAAATTAGCAAAAAATGCAGTTTTGGTCCAGGACGTAAAGGAGTTACTAGGAAAGAAGATGAGATATAGATGATAGCACTTTCTCTCAAATCTCCCCATACAGAATCAGTGATCCTCACTGCACGGCCAGAAGTAGTATCAACAATCTCATCATATTCAGATTATAAATCTGTCTTAATAAGAGCATCTGGCAAATAAATTAATAATAGGGAATGATAAGGAGTTTCCACCTTGACCACCACACAATGGGACAATGAGTGATCGGATAGTGGAGGGGGATTTTTCACGAACAATGCGGTCTTTACACCCAGGCAATCCACTTATCTGAGGGCCGCTTGTTGTCCGCTCCATTGAGAATGAATAAAAGAGCTGTGTTGTGTTTGCTCACCCATTTAGGTACGAACGAGGATGAGCTGAGCTGAAAAGATGAGCCCAGCTATCACCAATTATCTAGCACAAAGGGAACGTAATGGGGGAGAAGGAGGGGAAAATATGGAGGAAGGAATAGAGGAGGACAGCGACCAAAGTCGGCCCGGGTGGAGATTGATCGTACTCTTTGCGTTAAAGAGTATGACAGATAGCTGGGATAGCTGATGTTGTTAAGGTGCGACATCATGGATATACAGGTGCACAACAAGGGGGGAATCGTTTAAGTGGAACACTCGTGCAATATTGAATATTTGAGCAAATTTTACAGGACGTTTAGTCCATAGGTTGTTAGGATGCATTATTAGCCACTAAGCAACACTGACTGACGTATTAATGGGATGTAACAGAGAATACATCGACTTTATTAGCACATCTAATATTGCCGTTTTTGCCACGAATGATGAGCAACTTAGTGTAATTTGTCAGTTTAGAAGGACCAAAGTAAGAAATATGACAGGGACAAATTGCCACTTTCTCCACCCAGACCAAAACAAATAGCATCATCAGCTATGATGGCGTGTTATCGAGTTCTTTAGGAGCCCAGGATTACTCAGCAGTCCTGGACTTCATTGAGGCACAAGACCAGAAAACAAGGAGATTTTTAAAAAAGAAATCAATGGACTGTCTTTTTCTGGAGTTAATGATCCTTCACTATAATATACATATCCGACATATGACCTAAAGCTAACCCTACATTTTTTTGATCCCCTCATAAAAAGACATAAAATACACAATTTATTTCAGCATATCCAGAATTAACATATTCCACACTGATGAGCATTACGGGTTTGCGTCCTAATAATAAGTCAGTAATGTATTTGTTTTGCACTTTCTAATTCTTTCAGGTTAAAAGCCACTTCCTGATTCTACTCATTCATAGCGGCACATCGTGAGCCACGTCAAAGACCTTCACGGAGCTGGAAATTAAACATTAATGTTGCTGTGAAGATGTGTTTTTCTCAACTGGAAATAAACAGTGTGTGTGATATTCTCCAGTACATTTTAAAGGTGAATGTGGCGCATTAAAGATGAGGCTCTGGCCACCCGTAATACTGATACTGTACTGCTGCATAAACAAATTAGCAGAAGAAGACTGTACATGTTTTGTATTCATACCCATAATGCATCATTCTGCCCTTTGGTGATGCATCCACTTAGAGGCCACACACTTAAATCCTCTTAAAAGTTTAAATCTCCTTTCTGGACCCATTTTATATGCTAGCTGCTGGATAAACACAATCAGAGCGAGGGCACATGAGTCCCTGTCTGCTTTCCTAGCTTGTCAGATTTTTAACCTTCAACAAAAAGCTCTAGACATTGGTACATAAAACTGAAGTGTGTCTGCATCTGTCTATGAATATGCAATGCGATGTGTTACATTACAGGGGAAACGTATTACAGAGCAGGCAGCACAGCCGCAGAAGAATATAATAAATATTTTAGTATTACACTGTCAGCCACTGCTCAGCCCACTGCCGGAAAAATACGCAAACGCAGCCTCTTTTGTAGTCCGCTTTGCATGACCCACAATCTCCAAAGGCTAATGTTAAGGCTAGTGGGTTATTTATATGTTGACAAAGCAACACTTTTTTCTGAAAAGGAAACAAATTCCTGGAGTGTAAAATCCATTAAAGACTGAAGTTTACAGCTGACCTAAGGCATTTAAATAATAAAAAAAAGATGTGAACCAAAGTGTATGTGAAATTGTGAGAAACCACACTAAACATATTGCATTGCTGTTTTGATGCCTAAATCCGGATTTTTGGACAAAA